GAATTGGGTGAATACATCCCATATTACTGATTTACTGGTAGTCACGAAAACAATACTTATTTCGAAAAATAATCTACAATACTGACACAATCAGATCCATTTGCCTGAAGCAACTTCGACTGACAGAAATTTAGGGTGTATTCTATGTCATACAAACCGAGTTTATAGGGCGAATGTTTTATGATAATACACTTGGTACATAAAGCAAACATCCCGAGGTTACCGACAAAGTTCTCCAAGACGGAAAATTTCCATCCATAACACCAGGGTTTCGCACTCAAATCCGAACGTATCTCGAATTCGAGCTTGATCAGTTAGTCTCTCACCACGACGTCTGCCCCAGTTGCTCAAGCGTGAATCAGTCCAATTCGGCTTTTTTCCAGCTCTCTTCTTGCGTCTGAGTCCTCTCAACTGAAGAGGGCTCCCCACAAATTGGGTTCCTTCATGGCAACCTTTGTAAGTGACTATCACACAGGGCCACAGATTGCCTTGGTCCACGAAATCACCATGACACTTGATAATGGTTCATTAAAGCATATCAACCAGGAGAAACAGGCCTGCTGTATCGTGTTGTGTTGTCGCTTGATACAGTTCGCCTCTTGAATTGTTACAGGATACGTCCCGGTGGCGGCCGTCTTTGTAGTAATGAAGAGGAAATGGGTTTCGGGGGAAATCGAAATGTATTCATACATTTCAGCTCGTCTGAAAAGACGGTAAGAAGTACTTCGTGAATGAGCCTCTTGAGAAAACAAGTGAGAAGAATTGTTGTGGATACTTTAATTTTGTATGAAAGTACATGAAGGAGAGATTCACAGGTTGATTTCACCAGAAGACGACGGCTGATTACTGTTTAGTTTTAATACGACGTTCAGGTTGACGCAGTCTACGAGACGCCATGCCTCGTTTTGGGTGAAAACTGGCTGAGCCTTCGTCCATCATATGATCGACATCATCAGAGCTAGAACTCATACTTGGAAAAATCTCACGTTAGAACTAGGCCAAGAAGATTATCCTGCTCTATCTTACCTCTTTAAAAGACTCAATTAAGCAAAAGAAAATTAAAAGAAATAGGTAGATATAGAATGGTTTGGCTAATTATCTTTCGTATTGGTCATGCTACTTTTGCTTGAATGTGTGTGCGTGTGTGCCTGCGTATGTGTGTGATAACGTCTATACTCAATACCGGTCCTAAATCAGAGTAATCAAAAAGTCTAATTTCAGGCTATTGTCGTCAAGGCTTATAATGACTCAAGAAAAAGCCCTGACCGAGACTGCGAAAGTCCGTAAGCAACTATGGTTGAGATAATGAAATGTAGGCTTGTAAACGTGTAAGGCAGGTTACGACACCACGTTTCCCAACTTCACAGTTTAGGGTCATTAAGCTTTAACCACTCAAGGAGAGGTATGCCTGGGGCTGCATAATCCCAAACGTCTGGTTTGGTTGATGAGCTTAATCCAACATGTTGGGCGAGTACGAATAAAGTTAGAATCATCCCTAAGCAGACAAATTGAGTCGCCTTCTTGTGGATGGCGGCTCAACACCGTCTCTCTCCTTTAATCTATCAATCAAGCATCAATAGTTCCTCCTCAACTTTCTACCACCATTCCTTACATCCAACGTATTCCCTAATCTACTCATTTCAAGAGCTCCTCTTATCTTCCTTCTAACAACAGACGTACCATGATCAGTAAACCTATTAGTTCTACACCATTCTTATTCATATCCAGTTCCTTACATGTGTTCGGCCACTTCTGAGTGTTGGACCCAGCTTCCTATACAAGCATTTTTGTGTCACCCCAATCTTTGTCGAACGGGTCGGCATGTCTCACCAACATAACATCCGCCACATGATCAAACAATCTTGTAACAGCCCGATCTCGATAATGGGTCATATTTCTTTCTAAAAGATGGCATAGCAGAAGAAAGTGTGAAGGTTTATATGAACACTTTTTTAATCCTCCAATTTCTCACTAATTCGCCTATCTATTTTGAGAGATGGCATGACGACAAAATTAGGACATGGGAAATGGTCTCCGCTTGTCTCTCCTTGTCTAAATGGTCTCCGTCTGAAAATTTATTCTTCAGTCGAGAGATATTATTCTCAATAAGGCCCAAAGGATAATTATTTTATAGGAATAAATTAGTCAGCCCTTCCAACTCTTTGGTCAAATGTTTGCTATCCGCTAGCCTAATACTTCTAATAATCATTGAGTTGAAAATGTCAACCTTAGTCTTGTAACTATGGTTGGAAAGAAAATAAAGCATAGAGCCGACATATGTTGGCTTTCTATAAACATCTCTTCCTAAAATACCCTCTTCTCTAATAATGAGAACATCCAGAAATGGTAAATACTTATTCTCTTCCGTTTCCTTCGTGAACCTAATGTTCCTTTCATGCTGGTTGAGTAAAAGTAGGAAAATATCCAAACTTTCCTTATAATGAAGCTAAATGACAAAATAATCATCCATGTATTTAACCCACAATTTGGGGTTAATATTGCCTCGCAAGAAATGTTCCTCCAGTCTTGTCATATAATTGTTCGTGAAAATGAGAGCCGTGCAAGATC